TGTTATATGCGCATTGGCGCTCCTTGGGCAGTTTATAAGCTTACATAAATCTTCCATGGCTACAGTTGAAAGGCTATGTCGAAGTGAGAAAGTAAGAACCATGAGCATGCATTCAAATTTTGTTGTTGTAAAACCATTTTTTAATTTCCTTTGAAGATCTGGATTTTGTTGTAGATTGAAACCATTATATTCTTCATCCGAATTGCTGTCATCCACACTCGAATCAGCAGGTGAAATTGGATAGCTTGAAACTTCCTTACAAACGTAAACACAAAAGAAATAAAAATGTGTTAATAAAATTTAGGAATTTCAAACAGTACAAAAGACTGCTGTGCACATCCTTCAAGTTGTACAACACAATTGACGTTGCATCCTCACTAAACCTTGATTTTTTACTCACTTGAAGATCATTGTCAGAATCAGATACATCTTTGTTCATTTGATTTGTTAAAAATGTTTCTTGTTCATGCACAAAAGAAGTACATGATCCATTTTCCATTCCATGTAATTCATCATCGTGCCTTCTTTCATCGTACTGGTTACAATTCTAAAAATACTCAGTAATTTTAGGTAATAGTAAATTAAGTTATAATTTCAGAGAAATATATAACCTTCTTTTTAGAAAAAAGTATAATGTAAAATATTAGATTTTTGTAAATAATTTTGTGTAAAAATTTTTATTGTAACAAAATATAATAGTTAATAATTTTGTAATTAAAACTTGATTTTTAATGCAATAACCTGTACACAACCAGCATCTAATATGTACTGATGATCTTCTTGTAGTTGAATATTATCTGCAACTTCTTGAAAAATCTGTCTGTTCTCTTCTTGTTGCTCCAATCTTAATCTTGTGGTTCTCGGAAGTACAGGATTTAATGAGGTTAAATATCCTCTATATCGTCTTTTTGGCAGAGAATAATCGTTTTCCATTCCAAAGAACAAATCTTGATTGCGATATTTATGATCCAAACTTTCTTTATGATGTTACAATTGTACACTTCGCAATAAACAGCCAGTTTTTGGCCTTTTACATTAAAAATCAATGTTATCCAACGTTATCCAGCATCTTAAGATAAATTCAAGCGGTCTTAAATATAACATCTGACTATCAGTACCGATCTTAGTTTCTTTAATATGCATGTCAAAGAGCCCGCGCGGCCGCGCGATGGAACAAGTGCAAAACGATTTCGATGTGTAATTGTCTAAGGTCGCGGTCACGTCGTGACGAAGCTGTGCTGTGGTCGTGGACATTGTGGTGCTAATAACAAAATTATCATCGTGTGCCATTCTTAGACAACGCTGCATTAAATTCAAGTAAGCATATTGCCTTTACTTTTGAGACAAAGAAAAATTTGTGTCTATTTACACTTTCAAGCAGTTCTAAATGTGGAAATTTTTCGCGCTAGCGAAATATATAGTTAACCTAATTGTCGATATATCTTTCAACAAATAAAGGCTACCTTTGCGCGTAATTTACATACATCAAAATACAATGTACAAAATCAGTTGAATTTAGAATAGCCACCAATCCTATATCGCATTATCATACTTATTGTTCTTTTTATACTATTTGTAGATCAAGTTAGTCGTTGACAAAAAGATGTGGTGCTGGGTCAAGTTTGTAGCTGACAAATCAGAAATAATAAGACCTTTGGAATTCTTTGAAAATTTTAGAACTATAAAATTGGAAAAAATAAGGAGTACCAGGTATTCTGGTCCAAAGAGGATGTCGACACTCCAGAAAAGCTACTCAAGAAAGAAGGGAAAATTATATACGTAGATAATGTAAAAAAAAAGAAACAGCAAAACACCTATTCCAGGGTATTATCGGGCAGTACTGCTACAATTTGCTGGTAAGTTTCCTTACACTATTATTCGTGCCAGCTCATTTTGACTGTTCTTTACAATTTACCGGTTTACTTTATGACCATTAGAAACTGTCGAAGAATTAGAGAAATCCCTAAATGAGAAGCGAGTATCTTTTTCCCAAAGAAAATTGGGCAGTTATACACAAGTCGAGAAAGTAAGTTACTCTATATCCAATTGATTTTTGTCTTTTCAAGATTTTAAAAT